AATTAAGGCAGTTCTGAAGGCGAAAGGGGGTCAAACACCGTATTAGTATGGTGTTCCTAATAATCCTTTAGGTGAGTGTAAATTTGCGTGAGCCAGACGGGCAAGAACTGGCAACCCTGCCAAACGGGGGCCATTACAGCCTGCAGGGCCACCGTCACAGCACTGAGTGCACCCTTGCTGCTGGAGGATGTTACCCAACACCAGTTTGGCAAACTGTCTGTTCAGACTCTCAAGTCATTCCCGGATGCATCCACCCCTGGGCTCTTTTGGCAAGCGACTAATATTGATCAACTCTCCGTAATAGTTCATGACCAAAAAAAATAATAATAAATAAAAATGTATATGTATAAGGCAGGTGCATGCATCATGGGGCTTTTCCGGAACACACGGAGACATCCTTGGAAAAGAAGGAGCCGTTTGGTTTTTGGAAATGAAGAAAAATGAGCTTAGAGGTAACGCTGAGCAGTGTGGAAGTCACCCCTACCCCCATCCCTGGCCTCTCCCGCCTCCAGGCTGGAGCAAATTATTTATAACAGTAGGGATTCAGTCAGGCGGGTGCAGGGCAGCCCCTGAGGTCCTGTACAGCAGCACTCCAGGACCGCCAGGCATGCAGTGGGAGCATAGACTCCATCCGGGGGGAAAGCCACACCCTGCCGTTATATACTGACCGAACCCGCAGCCAAAGCCAAACGAAGCAGAACCTTCCCATGGCATTTCAGAACTGCTCCAAGTGGCATTTTCGATCTCAGATCAGCAGCAGCATATTGCATTCAGAATTTCAGTATTATTTAAATTGACACAGATATTTAATGGCATGCATGTCAACAACAGCTTGGCCAAAACAAATAAATAATAATAATAAAAAAAAAAGATATAAATTAAAAAAAAAACCGTATAAATAAATAAGTACTTCTTTAGATAAAAGGGCACTATTGCCGTTTTCTGGGATGCAGGTCCAGTCTGCAAAAGCTCCCCGCTAACCCAGTGTCTTGCAGAGGGATTTTACACAGCTATTTGGCACAGTCTCTAGTTCGGGGGGTGGGGGCTTAACGGCACCCCAGAGGTCAAATCCATGGCTCTATATTTAGGGAGCTGGGAAGGGGGGGGGGGGCTTTTCTGGCAAATTTACGACATGTCACGTTCGCCGCTGGGATGGAGTCCTTCTGAATCGCTGCCAAAGGGAATGTATAGGAACTTTTAAAACAAGTTTCCAGCGAACTTGCTAGAAAGCAATTCCCTGTTTATAGCACAGAAACACTTCTGGTAGACTTGGTTGCAAAATAACTGCGTCCCACTTAAACAAGCCATCTTTGTTATGTTTCCCTGAAACTTTTTAGTTTTGAAGGCTTTAAATAAAAGGGGGAAAAAAAAGAGGCCCACTCTCCCTGCGACCGACAGCCCAGCACGGCCCAGTAGCTGCGTCCCTATTGCCACTGCGCTCTTTTGTACGAAGCGCGCAAACCCAGCATGGGCTATTCCATGCGAAATGCACAGCTGACACCTCAGTTCCTGCTGTAAGAAGGCGCGCAGTGGAGAGAGGTGGGATGGGAGCTGGGATGCAGAATGCGGGACTAACTAACACAGGCACAGACGCGAGCGGGCGAGTCCGCAGCTCAGGCTGCCAGCAGTGTTCTAGCAGCAAGGCTCAGGTGGGAGTTTTTCATTTTTATTTTTTGGGGTGGGTTTGTCTTTTCTGGGGCTGCATGCCCTCACCCCCTCCCAATGTAGTGACTGCTTGTGGCCAACAGGGGTCCGAGGCAAACACCCCTGGTGTTCGGAACACAGGCCGGAAAAAACATCCCAAAAGCCAGAATGCCCCCCCACCCCAAAGCAGTTTCCAAAAGGGATTTTGGACATTTGACACACATCCCAGCCAGAGTCATCAAGTTTTACTGTGATACTTAACAGGTGCAGGTGGAGAAGCAGCCATGGAAAGGCAGTGAGAAAGGTCTCCCTACTGGCGTCTCTGCAACAGGAGAGTCGCAAAGTTTTCCGGAAAACTGAATTCATGCCGAAAATATTTATGATCGTGCTGTACTGCTTCTTATCCACTTTGCTTACAAGTGTTCAAAATCCACACCTACTACCCAAACTCCAGTGGTATAAAGGGAAAACTTTTTAGGACATTTTATATGAAATTCTCCCCCACCCTCACCATCCAATGACTAGTTCAAAATACTTGAAATACTTGTGAAAACAGTCACAAACTGCCAGTTTAAGTGGAAACTTACTGTTCATCAACTGTCAGTGAATAAACAAATGACTAGGCTGATTTAGTAAACAAAAAGAAAAAAGAAAATGACCGGAAATGGGTTGGGGAATCCACTGTCCCTCACTGGCATCTTCTGTCCTTGTTCCTTCAGTGACCAATGTCCTTCTTTATACTGATGTCCACTAAATAAATGAGGAGATTTTTATCCCATGTACCTTAAGCGACGTACATTTTTGAGAAAGCAGAGTCAATTGAGGTTAAGGGCCGTGCTCAGGGACCCAATGGTAAAAATCACTCTGCTGACCACAGGATTTGAAACAGTGACCTTCTGATCACAGTCACTGCACCATAACCCACTGTGCCACACAACTACAAACAACCCAACCAAGACTGTTTGGGATGAGACGGTTTGTGTACGCAATCTTTGTTTGCCTGCCTCCTCAGGGATACTATTGGCTCTCGTTTCTTTTGGACAATAACCATCTGGATGGGAGCTCTTGTTTACAGGTCACACCTGGGCTATAAATAGCCTGAACTCTGTTCTCACATGAGGCCAGGAAAGAATCGACTTCTGGGTTACACATCTCAGCCCTATACACACACAATGTGGTTGTCCTCTCCATAACTGGGGACAATGTGTCAGGACTAGGTGCTCAGGTCAGGACTAGGTGCTCGGGTTCCATAGCAAAACATTTTTTAGTTTTCTTAATCGAATCTTAAGTCTGTAGCTTCCCGGCACGGATCAAGTTGAATATTCAGGCAGAGATGGTTGTCACACCACTGAAGAAATTCACGTATATAATCAGAAGACGTCGGAGCTAGGATAACAATAGCTCAGGAGTATGTCGAGAGCGAATAAGATCTACTTTCAGTCAACTTCAAGCACAAACTGGAACAATGAAGTTTTTAAAATGAAAATGAAAAATGAAAACAAGGATGGACGTAATAGACATTCCTTTGGAAATCTAAGGAGCAGACCTTCGCTATTAAGTCATGGATGGAATTAGTGTTCAAATTGCCTCGAGTGGCAACCTTTGCACAGTGACAGCTGTGGGTGAAAAGTCTTTTCAGTTTGCACCACACTTGTGGCATCAGAAGCGTGAGTTGGTCTAGTCGTTTTAAGGTCTGTGTAAAGACCGTGGTCCACGGTCCTGGTTACGGAGACGACGAGTCTGACAGGGCCTGACAGAAAGCCAAAACAAATCTGCGATCCGCTAACACTGCAGAGGAAGTGTTTATATTACACAAGCTGCTACCCCGACAGTGTGGCCATCGCTGGGGCGGGTTGGTGCTGGGAGGAGGCACCACAGACGACAGGGTTCAAGGAACATCAAAAGCTTCTGAAATGCTGCTGCCTATTAAACAATTAAAATTAAGTCAGTGACAACTGTTAATAAGTTTGCCAGTGGCAATGGAGGAGAGGCTGGGGGTCTATTTAGGACAATAATCCCCCAGCTCACCATCTAGTAACCTCACGAAGGCTTACAGAAGCCCCTCCCTCGTGAGCACGGTGACACGCCCAGTCACATCATTCAGACGCTTGTGTAAACACGAGCTGTCCGCGACACACACCATTTGCAGCCCTGACAGCTTAGCTTAAATCTTCTTACGATGTCAGGTGGGTGGGGGTGGAAGGTTCGTTCACTATGTAATTTAACACTGAATTTCATCTGTAAGTACATGACAAAAAAAAAATTAAACGAAAAGAGGACTCCTCAGACCATGTCCTCTCTGCAAATAACTGTAACCTTTAAAGGAATCAAAAAACTAAAAGAAGTGAATTTCTTTCTACGGCTGTAAGACGTCAAGACTAAGAGTGGCAATGATAGTTCTGGCATCTCTACCTAGAGGGCGGTTGGACTAACCTACTTTTTGCTTTTTAGTCATCTATTGATGCTGCTGATAATGTCTATAAACTCGTGGCCCGTCTTTGCTCTTTATATATGAATACTGGGTTTCAAAATAAACAAACCTTCTACAGTGGAAAGACGTCCACGCTTCAACTTAACTGTGCACAGTGTGATTTTCACGCCAGCGATTAGCTGCAGTGACGGGCTTGTGAGAGTTGGCCATCTCTACGAGGAGCCAGCCCCGTTCCAAAAAGATAAACAGCCAATCACTGATGCTCTGACGCCTCACATTCTCCGTTAAGAAACTTCAGGTTTGACAAAACCAAGTTTTTCTATCACGGATTAGTGCTTTGTGAGATGAGCGAAGAGCACACATGCAATGAATAACCCAACCAATCCCCCTGGCACGTGAACTAAGAATTTTGCTTTTTGGGACTCTAGCGCCAGCTCAGTTGCAGTAATTTTAATATTTTCGATGGAATATTTCAGAATTCAAGGCTCGAGAAAATGTTTGAGAAGAGGTCACATGTCAGAGAGGTCAAGCCACCAGCTAGTCACCTTGAAGACCAACTGCTCAGACCCCCCCCACCTAGTCAGAAGCTTCCGGGTGCCTCATGACACGCATGTTCGGGCGTGAGAGAACTACCTGGTGGAATCTCTTCTGGATGGGAGACAGCCTCCCGCTTCAGCGTCACCTTCTGGGGATCTCCGTAACCTAGCTCCTGGGGGAGAAACAGGAAGTGGAAAAAGGGGAGGGGAAGGGGAAAAAAGAGAAAGAGAGAAAGATTAGGAGGCTGCATCACAGAAATATAGATTTTAACCAAAAAAAACACAGGAAACTGAAAAATATTTCAACTCGCACACGAAATACCACCCAGTGCTTTTGGAATTCACACTTCTGGTTATGCAGTATATATGTTCTTTGACCATTTCATTTTAATCCAATTTTCTCTCCACAAAGTTTATCATTTACAGGATGTCACCCTAAGCATAACTTACAGCAGACAAGGCGCGTGAGTCACGGGGTATTTTCATTTAAACTTTACTTGTGCCCATCACCTACGCAAAACGGGGCCTTGGGGGGAGGCGGGATTTTCCCAAAACATAAATATTCACCCGGCCGACCTGGAAATGCTGACAGGAGTGTGCAGCAGCCGCGAGCAGCTCGTGGAAACCCGGAGTGGGGCGGGGCACGGACTGACGTCGGAAAAGTAGGCGGAGCCTCTGGGAGAGCAGCCACACGAAACGTTAGAGAGATCCCCACCACCGTGCTCATATGGCCTAATTCCTGCTTCCTGTACGACCGCCAACACTGTGTCCTCTGTGAGTGAGGTTGGCCACCGCCCACACAGCCCAGCTACATGTCGAGGACAGTCCGGGGGTGTCCAGACCAGCTGGAGGGCTCAGAGACTGTGCACCGCGTTCGGACAGTCAGGGAAACAATGGGGAGATTGTCTTTCCAGCTTTCCGGAACTTATGTTCGTGCATCCAGGGCTGTCTGTGACGTGTGTGTGAGAGTCAACGGGGGGGGTGATTGGGAGTTTCCTCTTCCTCCCACTCCCCCACGCTGGGGTATCAGCCGGGGCAGGGGGAGTACCATACTGACACGCTGTGGAGCAAGACTGCGGCTGCATAAGCCATTCCAGATGTAATGGGGACCTCTCATGGAGCGTCATGCTACATATGGGGGGGTGGGGGCCTGTGTATCCTTCCCAGACAGCCTTGACCTCCCCCCCCCCACCCCACATCGCTTAAAATAAATGACACCCAGCATTTAGCCTGCGACTGTCTCATGAGGTCAAAAATAAAATCCCTCTTCTGGTCACAAAAGGCTAGTGTTTGGGTTTCAGAGTCTCGGGGAGTACAAACACCAAGGCTGAAACTGGGCCGCGGATCTCCTCAGTATTCCTGCCTTGGTCATGCTGCTCCGAGCGTCAGCAGCCGTTTTCCCAGCAGGGAAGAGAACTCGCCCCACCAGGAACGCCAGGAGCGTCGAGTCTCATTCCAGCCGCTGGCCCATTGCGTCATTTCCTGTTCCTCAAGCCCTCTGCTGCCATAAAAGGGAATTTCTGCCATCTGAAAAAGACGTGGAGCCCCCCCCCCAGCCGCTGTCCACATCCTGTGCAATTAGAGTGTGTAGTAAAGGAAGGGAGTGTTTGTTTGGATTATGAGGGAGTGCATGCAAACGAACACAAAACGAACGTGCAATAAGCCCTGACTGGCAGCTGTGGTCATGCCGCAGAGAGCCTGCATTCGCAGTTAATTGACCTAATTGATATTTCAGGCAGCAGTGTACCACAGGACAGATTAGTTACAACAATAAATGTAACAGTGTGACTCCTTGAACCACAGCGCCTTTTGCAAAGAGGCTCATCGCTGCCACCTACGTGTTGTCGGTAGCTTAACAAAACACAATAACGAGAAATAAAAACAAAAAACCCCTGTCAGGGCCAGCCACGGGATTTCCTGCAGCGGATGAAGAGCCCAGGTCACACAGAGATCCTGTGTAAGGGCGACCCCACCCCAGTCCCCAAGCAGAAGCGCAATTACAGAAGTCATTCTTCTGTAATGTTATGGGGGGCAGAGGGGGGGATGTGTAACGAAATGTTGACCGGGTACACCATACACATCAAAATTACTCAATACATATCAAGTCAATAGTTCTTTGTATCTTTGCCCAGTTTTTATAATTCAAATTATCCTATTTTTACATAATCAAATGCCATGAACGATGCATTACACCCTCACCCCCAGTTCTGTATACATAAACTGCAGCAAACGGATACCCCCTCTGGCTCACTGGCAGTCCAGGCCAATTGAAGACAAACCCATTGTAGTAGCATCTTCACAATGCGGAACACCCCCCCAACCCAGCAGAAACCATGGACAGCCCGCTCTGCCCCAAGGCCGTGGTGACACGCAACGCTTCCCTAGATTCCCCTCTTATTTTATTACAAATGCACTTTTCCCAGCTGTTCCAGAAGTTAAACAAAAAAAGCAACATCTCATTCTCTTCCACATTCAACTTAGTTAACATTCAACGGGCTGTGCTTACAGAAATGCGTTTACAAAATTTTGGGGGTAAAAGCCCACCAACGATATTGCAAACAAAGGTCTCCCTTTCACTTTCCCCTGGGAAAGGGCAGCATTCACTGAGCGGCGGTCAGACAGGAAGTGACACGGGAGCGTGCTTCCCTGGACATACACACGGGCGCCAACCAGATGCAGAGCACACGCTTTCCGCCCACCATCCAAACATACGACTTTCGCTTCCAACGAGGCCCCCCTGCTTGTCTCGCACCACAGCAGAACCAACCACCATACAGCAAAATACTCATGCATATGATGTCCTACTTAACTATGCTAAGGTCAAGATAATCACCTTGGGAGGCACAAATTTCGTTGCAATTCAACTTTTTCAAGACACCTGCCACCGGCCATGCCATGCCCGTATCTGCAAACATTCAAACACTATTTTAAAAGCCACGCTACTATTCACACGTAGAAGCCGCCATATTACTCCTGACAGCTAATTAACCCGAGCGGGACGTTTTTAACCTCGGCCCTAAATGGAGGCGACCCTATCAGCTTCGCTTTCAGGCTGCTAAGTCTGTGTCGATCTCAGAATACCCCAACCGCGGCCTCATGCCCTCTTAGTTGCCGCGAGCGACAGTAACCGTATCTTGCTAGGCGCCGGGGCACGCAGAGGCAGGGGAGCCAAATAAAACTCTGCCGCGCAAAAATGGCTAATTAGGTGAGTCGGTGCCGGGCAAGTTGCCCAGCAAAGGCCACCATCTTTCTGTGGGGATAGAAATTAATGACACACATTATAATATCCCTCTCAATAGCAAAGACTAAAAGATCCACCTAACCATTCAGCACATCACTGAGGGATTGTTTTTAAAATACGGAACAATTTGGTCCCATGTGACCACTTCTGAAAACGTAAAACAGCCCCCACCTTTTGGGTCATTGAGAGAGAATCATATAGATGATTCTAGAACGCGGTATGACATTTGTTTGAAGTCCGAAGCATACACATTTAGCATCTAAACTCTAAAATCGATTCTGCGATTGATCTCGCCATCCTGTGCAAAATGTTAAGTATATTTTTACATTTTATGTACAATATATTGTTTAACACAGCAGTGCTTTGAATCAATGACGGGAAGGAGGCCTTGATTATGACTGAGGTCAAAGGACAGACGTTTCCGTTCAACCTCTGGCTGACCGGTCATGTGACACATCTCGTGAAACCTCAGCGCCCCCCCCCATCCTTCCAAAGGGCTCCATGTCACCAAAACCGCACCCCCGCCCAGCTGCCCACACCCTAGATCTGATGTCTGCCTTCCGGAACATTTCAGACATTCTGCAGCCCTGATATGATCAGCGCTGAAATAGTCCCGGTGCCATTTTATCGACATGCTGGCGACTCCCTTCGTTTCCTTTATTTTTAGTGTCACAGAAGCGGGGAAGCTGTGTCCCCATCGAATGCCCCGTCCCCTACATCTCGAGCCTGCAGCTCCGCTCACCACCCCGGACCAGCTCTTAGGTTCCTCTTGAGACTTTCCACTCTTCTTAAACCTTCCTAGTTGGCAAAGAAGCCAATAAAAAAACAAGAACTAGACTTTGTGATCTCTACCGAAAAAAAGGAAGACAAAATGTTAAGAGTCAGTAAGACTTCCCCTTTCCATTCCTCAGAATTCAGCAAATTAAAAACAGAACAAAAAAAAAAAATAAGGATTTGAATTCTTAAAGTTTATCCTCCCGATTTTTCATTGCTCCATTTGAAGCCTTTTTAATATCCAGAGATTAATGTTAAGTTATAAGAGACGCTGATGATCCGTCTTAAACAGACGAGATTTGTTTCTCTCCAAGGCGTAAAAGTTTAGTACAGAAATACCTCAAATGTGTGACGTGCAGACAAAGTAAGTGTAGCCAAAACAGCAACCAGATGTGCCACAGCTCAGCAGAGGAAAATCGCATCACAGTCACGGAAAACCTGCGTCCAAAAAGTGCAGCGGACGATGCATCTTCTGCGACTTGGGGCCTGACAATAACGTCCAATAAAGACACACAATCGGGACAAACACAGAGCGCCTGCAGAGACGTTTTCGGTCTGGGTTCCATCACACATACCCCCACGGACACATTTAAAGCCGCCCTGAGCTGCATGGGACACCGCTTACGGACTCCAAAGATGTCGACACGCCCCACCGGGGT